AAAAGCCTAGATCCATACAATGGAATATTACTCAGCCATAAAAAGGAATGAATGAAGCACTGATACATGCTACAATGTGGATGGACCTTGAAAACATCATGGTGAGTGAGAGAAATCAGATACAAAAGTCCACATGTATGACTCCATTTATATAAAATGTCCAGAATAGGCAAATCTGTAAACAGAAAGTAGATTAGTGGTTGGCAGGGGCAGGTGAGGTCTGGGGAGGATGGATGGGGAGTGACTCCTAATGGGTACACCCTTTTGGAATGATGAAAATGTTCCAGAACTACAGAGGGGTGATGGTTGCACAATAATGTGAATATACTTAATGCCACTGAATTGTACACTTTAAAATGGTAAATTTTATGTTCTATGTATTTTACCACAATGAAAAATGGAAATGAGGGGGGACAAAAGCTTAAAGAGGTCAGCGCCTTCCTCCACCTTCCTTCCCATGGTCCTAGTCTGTCAGTGCTGAGAATGGATTTTGCTGGCCAGAGGGTATGTGCATCCACCCTCGGTCCCGCGCACGCGCGCGCGCGTGTGTGTGTGTGTGTGTGTGTGTGTGTTTGCATCTCTGAAGGTGGGTGTCAGTCTGGTGGGGGGACAGAAAAACAGGGGACAAGAAGGTTTTAGCAAAGTTACCAAAGGGGGCGGGAATGAGTGAAGGACGAAGGAAAACCCCAGGGAAGTAAGATTGCCCAGTTGTCCGTACCTGTCGATTCTCATGTGTGTGGTGGACCCAGCCTGTTGGTCTGGGGTGGGGGGTGAGTGGTGGCCCTAGGTGCCAATGTGACACACTGGGAAGCTTTGCTTACTGTCTGACTCCTCATCACAGAGGCGGGACAGAGGTTAGGGATCACGCTGATGTGAGTGCCTATAGGTGATAGGCTGGTGTGATGGGGTGCAGTGGGAAATGGGGGTCTGACTGTGGTTGTGTGATGTGCATAGGAGCTGGCAGCTTGGCCTCCACAAGTCCAGTGTTCAAACCCCTCTTCACCTGTCCTAACAGAGTGACTCTGGGCCAGATATTTCATCTTTCTGTGCCTCAGTTTCCCTGTCTCAAACAGGGATAATTAAGAGACCCTACTGTACAGGGTTGCTGGGGGAATGAGAGGGGAAGTAAACACACAAGACGGGGGCTGCTATCATGCTGCTGCCCATGTTCTAGCTGGGGAAACTGAGGCTCATGGAGACGAACCACAGTTGTACAGTATGGGTAGGGGTCAAGTGGGAGCCCAGGTCTGTAGTCTAATAGCCAAGCTGACCCCCACCCCCAACTCCCCCCACCCTTCTACTATCCCTCCTTCCCACCCCCTGGCGCCTCTGGCTGGTGCCAGAGCTGAGCTTAGAGGGGCTGGCCTGGGGCCCGGGGGGCGGGCTGTTGCCGGGGGCTTGAATGAGGCAACCTTGCCTGGGAATCTGCTGGGCTCAAAGAGCTATTCTATTTATAGGCCTGCACTGGGATTGGGCAAGCCACCCCCAGCCCTGAGTGCCTTCTCTGTCTCCCCCACACTGGGGCCCAGGCCAGGGGCTGCTGTGAGTTGGGGGGAGGGAGCAGTGGCGGTGGTTGGAGGGCCAGAACAGGAGTGGAAGGCTGGACCCTCCAGGACTGCGTCTTGGGTGGACAGTGTCCCTCAAGTGCCTCGCAACATACCCAAGTTGACACACAGACATGGCACATGCAATCAGATTCACATCTATCATACACAATGTCACCAGCAACACTGATATACAGTTACATCCCAGACACATAGTGACTGCACAGAAGGCTTATATACAACCACACCTGCTAAGGCCACATATATGTCACACAGGCCACACATAACCTTGCCTGGCCATACACAAGTCATGCCTGCTGCACAGCCAAATGCACAGCTGTGAGTCCAGCCGTACCTAGAGTCCCTTCATGCTCAAACACACTTACCACTGTTCACATCCACCATACCTCAGCCTTCCCAGCTGCCACAAACAGCCCACATTTGCCCCATGTTGTTCATTCTCAGCCACATTTACAGCTGTGGACATACCTACAGACAGCCAGCACCCAACCATGATCACCTGGCACCATGTCACCAACAGAGACATACGGTCCTCCCAGAGCCACACTCAGCCCAGCCACTCACATCACCACCAACATACCAAATTGTGACCCAGGGTGTTCCCACATGAGCTCACCTCAGTCCCTTCATTCCTGGCCACCCCTCCCACTCCCACTGTCACCCCTACTTACCCAGGCTCCCAGCTGGCACCCTACCAGAACAACCATTATACCTATTCCCCTTGGGGGAAACCAAGGCTTAAAGCTACCTGAGGGCCTTTTCCTGCCCTAGTCTAGGATGACAAACTCATGGGAAGTGGGACCTGTTTTCTGCCATGGGCTGGGATGCCTCCCCAGAGAGAGTCCCTGCTGAACCATACTTGCTGTGCGACTTCAGCAAATCCTTGACCCTCTCTGAGCCTCCATTTCCTCTTCTGTAAAATACAGAACTGAGCTCAGGTGAGAGAACACCTGGGTCAAATTGGGGTTTGAATCCTGGTCCCTCTAGGTGACCTTAGCCAAATGACTGCTTTTCAGTGCCTCCGTTTCCCTCAGTGAACCAGCATTGCAGCTCCTAGTTCTTCTAAAGTGCCATCTGCTCCATCTCCTGGGGTGAGGGGGAAGAGATTGCCCAGTTTCTTCTCACTCAGGCAAATGAATGGACCACTTTTGGCTGCCTTGCTGGGAGCTTAGAGCTGGTAATTCCTTGGAGAAACAGGAGGCTCTTTCATGCCCAGGCGCCAGTGGGGTGAGGAGGCGGGAAGAAGGTACGAGCTGGCCCCATCCCAGTGGGCAAGGTGGCTCCATGCCAAGACCAGGAGTAGTGTGGGGGGTATACTAGGGCAAGTATATCCTCCTTGGTGGACCTTGGATGAGTGGCTGTACCCTCAGCTGTAAAATGGAGGTAACACAGACCAGCACAGCAGGTTTAATGAGCCAGTGGATGGAGATAAAATGTAGTTTTAAGTTAAGCACAAGGTGGGATCTCAACAAAGTTCAGCACTGTTGTCATATGTTAACTCAAAGAGCCCACTGAATTCTCCAGCAGTTCTAGAAATAGAATTCCCTCCATTTCATAGATGAGGAAACTGAGGCTCAGAGGTCCACATGCTTGTCCAAGATCACACAGTGAATGAGTGGTCCAGCCAGGATTTGAACAGGATCTGGGCCCTCCAGGGTCCATGCTCTTCCTAACTTCCTCTTGGGGGAAGGAGATGTTTTCTGCCATGTCCAACCCCAGCCCTGAGACCAGCAGAGCCAGGTCTGGATGGCACCAGGCCATGATTGAATGCAGGAAGTCCTGGCAAGCAGGGCCTGATGGGGCGGCCCTTCCGCTAGTGTCCCAGTTTCCCAGGCAGCACCCCCTCCAGGAGCGGGCTTGGGCAGACACTACTAGGATGCCAGAAGGCCCATTCCCCCAGTCCTTGAAGAAAGGGGCTGGGTCCCAGACCATTCATCTAAAGCCAGGAACCACAGCCTCCTGCCAGTGGCTGATCTGTCTCAGAACTCTCCATTCATGCAGATCAAATGGTGTCCCACCCTTTCTCAAGCACCTTCTGTGACTGCTCCAGGCCCAGCAGGATCTGGCTCCACATGTTTTATTCAGATTCACCCAACTAGGCCTTTGCTTATGCTGTTCTCTCTGCCTGGACTCCGCCGTATTCTTCTCACCCTGGTGAATTCCTACGGGTATAGGCACAATATCCCTTTTCCCAGGAAGCCCTCCCTCCAGGTAGTGCCCCTGCTCCCCCAGCGCCAATCTCTTCCCACTGGCTCAGTCCTTTCCCCATAGGGCTGGGAGTGTGTGTGTCTAGTTCTGTATTATCCAAATTAGGGGCTCCTCAGGTATGGGGCTGGAACTGTCCCCAGCATCACCTGGCACAGAGCTGGGCGGTAAGGAGAGGCTGGAGTTGTTCAGTCAATGAACCAAACCTTTAGCCTGGTGTCTGAGGGTTTGTGTATCTGTTTTGGCAAATATCTTTTCATCCTTAAAATCCCATTTCACATGCCCCCTCCTCTAATAAGCCTGTCCCGGGCAGCATTTACTGGGAAGGCAGATTTGGAGGCCTGGCCTTCCGTGTCCCAGCCAGGACATACGAGGCTGATGAAAATTCCCTGTACTTGCAATATCGTGACCTCTTTCTTTGGCCTCTGGGAGGCAGTAAGGTGCAGAAGTTTCCAGGTAGCATTAGCAGTTAGGAGATGGATTCGGCAGACTTCCCCAGTAGGAAGACATCTTTATAAGAAGTCTCTCGGTCTCCAAAACCAGTGCTTTATACCTTCGGGCACCAAAATACAGCGCTCCGCACACAGTTGCTTTTAGGTACTAGCCTTCTTCCTCCAATATCAAGGGAAACTCAATCACCAAACGCGGGCCCTTTAAGAGGCGCGCGCGGAGGGGCGGGGCTCAAGTCAAACCCCGCCCCGGGAGCGACGGCGGCGCGGCCTGGGTTACATTGCGCCTGTGCGGTGTCCGCGCGGTTCCGGGTCCAGCTTTTGGTTCTCAGTTCGCAGAGAGATTGAGGCTCGGAGCTGGAGCAACAGTCACCGGACCCACAGGAAACCTGTTTCCCTTCCTTGGACTCTCTGTGAAAAACCTGGCCTCCGGTTATTGGCAGTTTCCCTGAAACCCCCAATTTTTCCTGCAAGGGGGATCAAGGCGACATTTAAGACTGGAGTGGGTGGGGCAGTGACGGTTCTGGTCCTGGGTTGCAGGTGAGGACGTGCAGATTTAGAGGTACGGACAAGGTCGTTCTGCTGTGGCTGCGTTGGCGCCGGCATTCGAACCCCAGCTTCAGCCCTGAGAGGGCTTGTGGAGCTGAGATGACCCACTCTTTGGTTTGTGCAGAGACAGTGAGCAGGTGAGAGCCTGGTGAGGAGTTCGGAATAGTGGCGGGACCCTCTGTCTGGGGTTGAGTCCTCGGTGGACAGAGCTGGGGGCTTGTGGAGCCTATGGTGAGGAGGGGGAGGACCCGGTGATGGGCGGGCCCTCGGTGCTGAACCCACCCCCTCTCGCCCTGATTCTGGTGTCTCCAGGGTGAGTTCGGTGTTGAATCGTAACACCCGGCAGTTTGGAAAGAAGCATCTGTTCGACCAGGACGAGGAAACGTGCTGGAACTCGGACCAGGTGAGGCACCTACCTGAACCTTCCACTCCTCGTTTGAATCAGATTCAGGGGACTAGGGTGCCTTGAGCTTTGGGCACCTCAGCTGGGCAGTTGGGTTGGCCAGAAAGAACGTGCTGAATCCTATCCCGGCCAAACGACTGTGAGAGAGAAGGGCATAGCATGGCTTTGAGCCTGGAGTGACCATGGCCTCAGTTTTCTTGTCTGCTTCCAGGGCCCCTCCCAGTGGGTGATACTAGAGTTTCCCCAGCGCATTCGTGTCTCCCAGCTGCAGATCCAGTTCCAGGGAGGCTTCTCCAGTCGCCGCGGCTGCCTGGAAGGTACTGGGAGGTCCTGGAAGGCAAGGCCCTGGAGGGTTGGAGGAGGCATCCTGGCCTCACAGCCTGCCTCTTTCCTTGCTGCAGGTTCCCAGGGGAGTGAGGCTTTCAACAAGATTGTGGACTTCTACCCTGAGGACAACAACTCACTTCAGATATCCTGCCCAAGCCTCTGGGTGGGTCTGTGCCTCTGAAAGTTGCAGTCCCTGTGTTGACCTTGAGCAAGTGGTCTCTAGGCTTGTATTGCTTCATCTGTGAAATAGGCTGATGATAACCTGTTTT